CTCCATTTGTAACAACCCTCTGCTTTCTTCCATCCAGCCAATCTTCTATCCAATTTTCCAACTTATCCCCCACACCTATAGAGATGATGTTTTTACAAGCCTTTTATGTGGCACCTTGTCAAATACTTTCCGAAAATCCAGATACACCAAATCTACACCCTTACCCTCATCTACATAAGCAAAGAATGTTAAAAGATTTGTTAGGTAAGATTTTCCCTTAGTGAAACCATGTTGACTATCCAATAAAATTTTAACCTTTGTTAAATGACTTTCTAAAGCATATTTTAACAGACTTTCCAAAATTTTCCCACAACTGATACAAGACTAATGGGTCTATAATTACTGGGGCAAATTTTATCACCTCTCTTGTAAAGAGGAGTTACATTAGCTAACTTCCAATCTTTTGGTACCTGACAAAAAAGGACTGACAAAAAATAGTAGTAAGTGGCTCACATATCCAATCATTAACCTCGTTCAAAACCCTTGGGGAAATATTATCTGGCCCAGGAGCCTTATTGTTTTTTAAACTTCCCAATTTTTTCTTATCCAGATCAGAATTAATGCAGTCATCTTGTTTGATCTCGTTTTCATTGATCAGGACTTAAAAGTTATAGCCCTGGTTGTTCAGTTGGAACAACAATAATCCTAAAAAGGTCCATAGATTTATCCCAGAGAACCCCAAAACAGAAATTAAAAAGCTTTTTCATAAATATATCTGACAGTTTTGTTCCTTTTCCCCACTGTCTGTCTGTCTGCCAGTGGAGTAAACCTGCAATACAAATTTGAAATGCAGAGCAGCCAACAAAGTAGTTAGGAGCAAAACACAATGGCTCTACTAGTAGTACTAGTATTCAAAGTGGTTATTGCAAGTAGAAAATCTATTGGCATCAGGCTTTTCAGTTGTGACAGTGGTAGTCATGTAAGCATATGGTTGTATTTTAAATGAGGTTCGTAAAGATATTTAAAGAAATACTAATATTTTAGTAGTTGTTATATACAGAGTAAAAAAAAATTAGCAAGATTATGTAATGTTGAGTCATTAATATATGGCACTACAAAACATAAGTGAAGTAATTTCCCTTAACGTCATGAAAAATCCTAATGGTAATAAAATTGGCTTAAATTACTGGTGACCACCTAGTATTCTGAAGGCCCAATAGTCACAGATTTTTGGTTTTCATGAGTTAAATTGAATAAATAAATAAATTCATAGGTCCATAATAGATTAATGTAATCTCAAATGAAAAGTTTAAAGGATACATCTTGGCAGGGATTTGGGAGGGCCATCCGCCTGACAGATTTCTCTCATTTTAGATAGAAAATATAGAAATATTTGAATTGACATTATACTGTACAGCTCGTTGCATTGGCTCGGTGTTAAGATAACTGGAACTTTCAACATGTTTAATGAGTCTGGGATATAACATTCATTGTTTAGCACAATGAAATAAAAAATCCATTCACTCAGAAGAGCTAAATTCTTAAATCCAATCCTGATGCGTCAATATGTGGGCTCTGCAGCTAACACTTTACATGCATATAAGAAAATAATATCAGGGAAATGACAATTAACATTGTCCATCCAATCATAAGAGAATGCAACTTTTAAGGTCATATCTTGTGGTATTTTTATCAAATTTTCACAAACATACCAAACAATCAATTTAACAATTTAACTGTTAAAAAACTTACATCTTTGGACTATTGGGCCTTCAAAGTATTGGACCCTCATACTAACAGACCGTTGCCAAATCAGTAGGTAAGAGAACTTTTAGTGGAAAGGATGGTTATTAAATGACAGATGGTATACTACATGTTTCATGCCATGGTTGTGGAATCTAGTCAGAACATTTATATTGGTAAATTATGAATCTTAATACATTGATTATAGAACAGTTACTGCTATATTATATATAATTGCATCCATGTGTTTGTAATTGAACATTCTGGTATTCATACTTGCATTGATAACATAATAAAAATAAAGGTCATTTAATGCATTGAAGTAATCTCTCTCATCTACAAAAAAAAATCTAATTTTAAGATAGCCTTCACATCCACGAACCTAACCAACAAAATTTTAAAATAATTGAAATAAACTGGTTGTTTATTGTATAGAATTGTTTGGAGGTTACTGATGCTGTAAACAGCTAATGCATTCTTTGCCTGAAACAGTATGCCAAAAGACAAAAAATACTTTATCTTAATTTTTGTGGTTGATGACATATGGACAACAAGGGACCATTTGGTCCTTCAAGGCAGTCCTTGCATTCCCAACCTTGAGAAAAGTACAAATTTAAACCCACCATATATATTTCAGGAGAACATTGATTCCCATTTTCAACCTCTGTAAAGTGTTGGTCCCCACTGCTATTGATGGCAACTCATTCCATCAGTCAGTTACTCTATTAGAAAAATAAGACTGTTTTAACTGGAGTCTGTTAAATGTGTCCTTTCCTTATATCTTTAGAATCTTGCACAAATAAATCCAGTTGATTACCCAGATAATCTAGCAGACTTCAGTAGGATCACCTGTTACCCTTAATTAAGCTAGAGATTTTAATTAATGTATCCCTATAAGATAGCACTTCCATCCCCAGAATCATCCTAGTAGCACTGCTCAGAACCCTTTTCAATAAGTCAATATGTATTTTTAAATAAGGAAACCAAAAAGTACTCAGTATTTCATGTGAGGTCCAACTAGGAATTTATTTAGTGAGATAAGTTCTTCTTTTGACTGGTAATTGATATGTGTATGAATACACCCTGAAATTCCATTAGCTTTACTACTAGCAAGAGAGCACTGCCTTGATGGCCTGATTGTCTCATTCACCACTTTGTCTTTTATTCAGTCACACTATAATTATTATAGTTAAAGGTATTTGTCAAATATTTGTTTAACTTACCAATTGATCCAAGTAATTTTGTCATTCCTCAATATTCTAAGTACAGCTAGACATACCAAAGATTAATGTCATCAACAAACATTACAAAAAAAGGCCCAAGTACTGATGGCTGTGACACTCCACTGGAAATAATAATCCAATTTGACTGAACTCCTTTAATAACTGCCATTTGCTTTCTCTCAATCCAGTTAACTAGCATTTCCCTAACCCTTACTGAATACATACTGATATGATTTTCTTAGCAGATCTTTTGAGTCACATTATTGAAAAGTTTTGGAAAATCTAAGTACTTTCTATCATCCAAATAACAAGTAACATCCTGAACAAACGTAACAGATTAGTGAGGCAAGATTTTCTTTTGGTGAATCAATGTTGGTTTTCATTTCTGATATATTTCACTAAATGATTCTATTAAGCTTCTAACAGACTATTTTTTTTTTCTGCTACAGAAGTAAAACTAACTGGTCTATAATATCTAGAGAGCTTTTATCCCCTCCCCCTTCAAAAATAGTTATAACTTATGGACAACATCTGAGAGAGAGAGAGGCCTGCATATCTGACTTTTAACCTCCTTTAAAACTCTGAAGAAATCACTGTTTGGCCATGTGTTATTTTTAGTTTTTCTACGTAACCAAGGGATTAATATCTACTTGATTCTATCAATTCAGATATTTCCCATACAATAATCAGGGTGAGGAATAGCACCAATACCCTCTCATGTAAAAACAGAAGAAAAGAAAACATTTAAAAACTCAACAGTAATCTTGCCTTCAGCAACACTTAAGGGCCTAATCCCCATTTTAATGTTTTGATTGATGCATAGAAAATTTTAAAAGATCAACAGTGTTTCTTCTTTTTTATTATATCACAGCTTTTCTGATATGTATATATATATTTCAGTGTTTGAATTCAGCTTTTGCTACATTTCTATTTCTATTTAGTCTGAGTCTAACTAGAAGGCAGAAACAGTGTGGGTGTGTTGAATATGGTTCAAGGTAGCAATAAGACACATAATCATCAACCTGGAGTTGGAGAAAACATAGAGAATGGTGATGTTAGCCCTGCAGGTGATGTAGTGTATGATGGTGCAAGTTATTCTAGTAGTGAGTCAATGCAACAAGGACTTGACAGCAACTCTGATGCATTACAGGACAGTTCAAAAGACCCAGAAATTGTACGTGGAAAACTTTGTTGTCAGTCTGAAGGCAATAACACATTTCCAACTATGAATGCACCAGGAACTCTGTCTGAGAACGTGAACGATAGTCATCAAGATGAATCAATTGAGGCTTCTTCAGATGTAACACTAGCTACCATGGGAGATCAACTTAGCAGTGGTTGCATTGTTTCTGTAAAAGAAATAAAGGACAGTGATTCTGATTACTCAAGTTTAAATACAACGAAAAACTCTAGTAGCACATGTACTTTTCAAGAAGATGAAGAAGTGACCCCAGAAAGTAATGAAGTCCAAAATAAACTTTCTAGCTCTAATAATGGTGAGACATTTTTACTTCCGAGCACTAAGTATGTAGAAACAGCAAGTAATTTGGAGCAGAATGTAGCACCAAACTTAAAAGAGATGGACGAAGAAGTTGAACCTGAAATGAGTTGTCTGTCTTCGGAAGAAGGTTAGTTGATATGTAAGGCAGAAGTAGTTAGGCTCAAGGTAGGATCAGATAAAAATTTGCATGTTGCAATTATTTTAATTTTTACAATTAATTTTACTATCTCAGTTTTATTTGCTGTATCTATATATTTTTGCATTACGTAAAATAAATGTGCCACATATCGGGTGTAAGCTACTCCCACATTTTTAACTTCACTAAATATTTGGATTTCTTTGGAAGAGGTAATCTAAGACAGTGATTCTCAATTGGTTCTCAAATGTCCTGTTTTGAGCTGTCACAGATTAGGATAACTGTGTGTGTCCTAAACTAATGAGTCATTTGCATATGAGGGCCTTTACCATGGTTGCAAATAACTAAGAGACCTTGAGGTGTAAAAGGTTAAGAAACCCTGGTCTAAGTGGCTCATTCTACAATTTGGTCAGTTTTTCCTTTCGTGAAGTTTGATATTCTTCTGTGTATGTATTCTCTCTCCAATTTACTTTTTTTTTATCACTGTGTATTAAAATTATACATAAATAAACTTATTACAATTCGTAATAAATTTCCATCAAACTGTGGAAGGTTACTACATAGAAGTCACTGTAATTGGGTACAAAATTCAAATAAGGCTTTAAGTATGTGATTATATGGTATGATTATTTTGCTGGAATATTCTTCCATAGCATACACGTGCATGGTCCAAAGACGTGGTTTGGCCCTTCTCCATTTATGAGGCTTGGAGCTGGCCCAAGTTTTTGTCCCAAATGTTTAAATGTACAGTGTTCTTAACAGTTTTGGTACATGACATGCATATTATAAAATTTATAGTTGCATGTTAGTGCTAACCCTTGTTTTGACCAGTCTGTCTAATTTTTGCTAGATTTTTCACTGAACTTTATGGGAATTTTTATCCTATCTCAGAAATACGTCATTTTTGTTCAGGTGCTTGTATGTTATTTTTTTTCTATATTTCACAGAATTTTGTTGAAGGTTTTTCCAAGTATTAGATACATGTGTATTGTATATTTGATCATGCCAATATCCAGTGATGCATGTTTTTTTAGTCTCCGATCACTTTTAAATCAGTTACTATCTCAAGTTTTTTGTTGTTGTTTTTTGAAAGTGAGAGAGAACAAACACTGTCTCACATAATTTGTGACAAGGCAAATAATTGATGTAACATACAATTGTAATTTACAAATACATCTTTAGGGTGACGTATAAAGAAAACTCTACATTTAGAATTGTTATATCCTAAAAACTACTTGTACTACAGGAACTAAATTTCACCAGATGCACATTAAAAATTTGCACACAAGTATTTTTTTGTTGCATTGTAACTTCAAACTCATTAGTAATCATGGTTAAAACTCTATCTTATTTCTAAATGTTTTGATTGCTTTTATACTAAAACTTTAGGACAGTTATTACCTAATAAATCATGAAACATCTTCAAAATATGAAAATCTCACAAAGCAGACCTACCCGACTGAATCATTATGATTTTACTTTTACCTCACAAGTTTCTTCTTGCATTGTCACTTGTTCCTTGTCTTTTATGTTTCTCATTTTCTCTCTCTCTGTCTTTTATTCTTTGATTAAAAAACACCTACATAACTTGTGTTCATTTTCACCACCCAGAAGTTGTGATAGATAATGACCTACATAACTTGGGTTCATTTTCACCACCCAGAAGTTGTGAAAGATAATGACCTACATAACTTGGGTTCATTTTCACCAACCATACTTTGTGATAGATAATGACCTACATAACTTGGGTTCATTTTCACCACCCAGAAGTTGTGATAGATAATGACCTACATAACTTGGGTTCATTTTCACCACCCAGAAGTTGTGAAAGATAATGACCTACATAACTTGGGTTCATTTTCACCAACCAGAAGTTGTGAAAGATAATGACCTACTTAACTTGGGTTCATTTTCACCAACCAGAAGTTGTGATAGATAATGACCTACATAACTTAGGTTCATTTTCACCAACCAGAAGTTGTGATAGATAATGACCTACATAACTTGGGTTCATTTTCACCAACCAGAAGTTGTGATAGATAATGACCTACATAACTTGGGTTCATTTTCACCAACTAGAAGTTGTGATAGATAATGACCTACATAACTTGGGTTCATTTTCACTGACCAGAAGTTGTAATAGATAGTGACCTACATAACTTGGGTTTGTTTTTATCAACCAGAAGTTGTAATAGATAGTGACCTTCATAACTTGGGTTCATTTTCACCAACTAGAAATTGTGAAAGATAATGACCTACATAACTTGGGTTCATTTTCACCAACCAGAAATTGTGATAGATATTGACCTACATAACTTGGGTTCATTTTCACCAACCAGAAGTTGTGATAGATAATGACCTACATAACTTGGGTTCATTTTCACCAACTAGAAGTTGTGAAAGATAATGACCTACATAACTTAGGTTCATTTTCACCAACCAGAAATTGTGATAGATAATGACCTACATAACTTGGGTTCATTTTCACCAACTAGAAGTTGTGATAGATAATGACCTTCATAACTTGGGTTCATTTTCACCACCCAGGAGTTGTGATGGATAGTGACATACATACCTACATAGACATGTGCAAAGACAGAACATACCAAAATAAAACATGGTAGCATTTAAGATAGTTTATCTCTTCAGTTATACACCAATGTGGGTGAGAATTGTTATGAAGCAACAGATGAACAAACTTAAATTATTGGAGGGCCTGGTTCAGGTGGTTGTATCTTTAATGTTCTGAACCTTAACAACACATTCACCATCTACAGCCAATTATGGAAAGGCAGTTGCCCAGTAATAAAATCAAAAAAGAGTAAACAACCCATCCACAATTAAATGTAAGTGTATAGATCAAATTAAAACTTAGAGAATAATAGCAAAGAAATAAAAGATATGGAAAGTAAACAAAACTAAAGTTAAAGAAAATTTTAAATAGAATAAAATGATTGTTACCCTACCATATCTAATCAAAATCAACTCAACCTCCTTCCTTGAAGTCAAAGTTATTTAGAAGGCACTGTGGAAATCATATAACAAAATATTATCAGAAAATAATATAAATAGCACAATAAATTTAAGAAACTACTTACATATATGAGAATATTGAAGTATCCTTCAGTTACCTTGAATTTCATCTTGTCTAATCCTTTTTTGGGGGCAAAAGATAGTAAAATTAATAATGTATCTAAAATAAGAATAAGAAAAAGAAAATCAAACCTGTTCTTAAGAATACCAAACTGAATGAAGCTGCAGAGAAAGAATAGTAGTGTGGGAGATAGTCATGATGTATTAAATGTGTCCTTACTGTTCTTGAAGGTAAACTAATATATGTTAAGTGTGGCAGAAGTTCAATGAATTTAAGAACAAGAAGAACTTATGACTTGATTGGTTTATTTCTGTATGTTTTGTCATTGCACACATATATAATATATATATATATATATATATATATAATAAT